TGCCCAGGGCTGCTCTTCCTCTTCCTGCTGTCAGGATCACTGGGATTTTAGGGAGGAGGGAGGCGCATGACTCATGGAGGGCTGAAGTGAAATCCCAGATTTGTACAGGGAGAACTGGGCAGGGTCGGATTCGACTCTGGAACTTCCCAGCTCTCGGTCATACCGTCATCTAGTGTGGAAGACAGCCTGGGACACCACGAGAGGAACGACAGTGTTGGCACCAGATGGTGGTGGTAGTAGCTTTCCAGGCTGTGGCAGGACACCTGAGATTCATCGTCAGAGGGTTCAGTCCAGGGTCACTGTGGGCTTGGGGCAGCACAGCACATCATGGCAGGAGTGTTGGAGGAGGAGACCCTCACCTCATAGCACCTGGGAAGCAGAGTCATGAAGAGGCCAGATCCCATCATCCCAGTCCCAGCCACGCCCCCTGTGACCTCACTTCCTCCCACTAAGCTCTGCCTCCTCAGGGGCACTGCTGTCTAATCCACACTTTAAACTGTGAGCCTACAGGGCACCTCAGAGAAGACAGAGGAAGACAAAGAAGCAATAGGAGGGGGATTTTGCTGATTTGTCCCTTGTTACCCTAGAAAGGCTGCTCTGGGGGCAAAGCATGCTGGGCCCCTGGGAGCCTGCTGACTGCACAGCCTCCTGTGTGGGTGCAGATAAATGTGGAGGCTGGGTGAGGGTGAGGCTTGTCCAGCACAGCCATGACTGTATCTCACAGTCCTCCCTGCTCACCTCTTGTCAGGCCCATGTGTGAGGGATTCCATGAAGAAGCCACCAAGTTGTTGCTGCAAGGATGATAAGTCCAGGTGAAGAGAGGCAGTGCTGAGCTCTGTTTAGTGGGCCACTGTACTGCTGCCCTGGCCACCATGCAGATTCCGGGACATGGCCATGCTGTGAGCAGCCCAGGAATACGCAGAGGCGACGCTGAGCCTCTGTCCATGGAGTTCAGCATGGGAGCCACCCCAGCCCAGTCACCGGACAGGTGTGTGATGCTGCCCCCCGATGACCCCAGCCACTGCCATCCAGCACCCTTCTCCTACTAGAAACTCCTGTGGACCCTGCAGCATTCTTTGGGATCCTCCCCAGCCATGCGGCCATGTGCATTCTCCGTACCTCTTGGTAACCATGTGGTAACTGGAAGGAACAACAGCAGCAAGAATGGGCTGGGTCTCAGCTCCTTGGGAAAACCTGCTGCCCTCACTGGGGCTTCTGAGTCTCTTGGGAGTTTGAATATGGAGAGAGGAGGAGGCACCTCAGAGATTTCTGGAGGGGGTGAAGGGAGAGCAGGGACAAGGGGAAATAATGAGAACCAAGACCCGTCAACCAACACCTGTCAAGATCCCAATGATGAAAGTAACTGTACTGTGTACCTACAATGTACCAATGAACTCAATTTAAAAAACAAAGATTTCTGATGAGGCGAGTGTGCGTGGGAGGGATGTGATGAGCTGGGGTGGTGCAAAAGCTGACCGCACACTCGCCCTCAGTTTCTCCAGAGCTCTACTCTGGAGCCTCCCTAAAAGAAGCCAAGCAGACCCGCTCTGGTCTTTCCACACTTCTATCTATCTTTACACCTTTTCTCTGACTTTAGAGAATTTGTGCCAGTGCACGATATATCATTTCTTCTTGATTTCCCCAATCCGCTCCCCTCCCAATAACCCTCCTCCTCCTCTTCTTTTTCATAAAACAATGACTGTACTCTTTACAGTATGTTCTGAGAGTTTATATTTTACTCCATCTTCTAAAAATCCTGGTAATGTCCTACTAAATTTAATTCACAGCCTAGAATTTAGACAAAAAACTCTGGTTAATATTCATAATTTTAAAAATTCAGCCTTAAAAACATTTGTTCTGCTGAGTTGCTCTTGTAAATGAACATGTTGTATGAATTTTCATGTTTTCAATCTTTATACCCTGTCTGCTTAAAAGGATTTATAGCACCTATGACATTGCATTTTACTAAACCTCTGAAAACAAATTTCAGGAATGATATTTAGGTACTAGATTAGATCCATACAATCCAAATACAGTACTTTTCAGCTAGTACTAATACTCATACTTTTTTACTCATAATAGTAAAAAAAAACATGATTTAAATAATTTAGTCATCCAGTTTGGATTTGTCAATTATTTCAGAATGTTCAAATGAAACTTCTTGGAATATAGCTAATCAGCTCACCATTGACAATATTATAATAAGGTTTAAACTCAGACTATGGGAGTATCACAGGTTTTAAGGACGTAGCATCTTTATTTAAATATAAGGTACAAAGACCCAAAGACTTAAGGATATCTGAACAGATCACTTGTTATACTTTACAGAGATTGGAAATTTGTATCAAAAGTGAAGGAGGGGGCTGGGGATTTACCTCAGTGATTCCAGCGCCTGCTTTGCAAGCACAAGGACCCAAGTTCGTTCCCCAGTACCAAAAAAAAGTAAAGGAGGCTATGGGGGTGACACTTGGATTGTGTTGGTAGGATGCTGTCCTTAGTAGAACAGATAGCTACTTTTGTTACTTATTTGACCCCTTTTGCATTAATTCTTTGATTTCACCTGACATTAAGTCTATAATCTCTTTATGCCTGTAGGATCACCTTTCAGTGGATCCAAGTGGACATTCCTTTTGCTCTTCCTCAGCTATGACTTACTCCAGAATAGGAGATGAGCCACCAAAGGTTTTCCAGGCCTCAACTTAAACCCGTAGGGCTCCAGGAGGAGTAAGTACTTTGCAGACATTCTCAGAGCTTTCCGAAGTTGTGGGGTGATAGATTGCCTACATCACATTAATTGCTACATTTGATTTGGTAAAGAGTGGCAAGATGGCGGCAGAGGCATGGTGGTAAGTGAGGCATTCATCACTGGGAAAACCGTTAAAGTTCAGTTGTATTTAGTATATGGTATTTTCTTTGTCCTCTCTGCCCCCAGCTCTGTGAGGATGACTTCTGTTATGTAAATATCTATCGATTGCTTTTTATCTTCACATACTGACAAGATAATAATAGGAAACCCTTGGTCCATGAAGTATCCTACCCATAGTCAACTAAATGAAATGTTTCAAGTTGTACAGAAAGGATATATAATGAATAACCATATCTCTGCCCCCAGTTTATTCAAATCATAACATTCTTCTCTATTTGATTCAGGTTGTCTCTTGTTTTGTTTTCTTTTTAAGCAAAAAGTGTTACAGATACAATTAAAGCTTCTAGTATGCTCCTTCCAGGCCCCTTTTCTCTTTCTCAACCTTTTACCTGTGTCTGAAGTTTATCATTATTATGCGTATTTTTATAAGTTTATTGTTTATGTACACATCATGAAACATAATAGATAAGTTCTTCAGATCTCTCAACTTTATATGACTGGGATTATTATTGAATGTGTCCTTGCTCAGTAATAGGCTTCTGAGATTTGTTCAAGTTGATACATATAGTCCTGGTTTCTCTGCTTTTACTTCTATGTATTACTCAAAATATTAATAAAGCACAAATTTGTATCTATTTTTCTGTTGATAGATATTTAAGTGTAACTAACTTTGCACTAATTAATCCTTATGCAGGTCTCTTGTAAGACCTAAGAATGATATTGCTGGGTTGTAGGTTATGTGCACATTCGTCTTTATCTAGAAATTATCAGTTACCATAGTGATCACAACTATTGGCTTCTACAAATTGTGGTGTGAGTATTCCCATTCCTCCATTTCCTTATTAGGACTTACAGTAAAATTTTAGGTTTTCCAAACTAAGGAATGTGAAATAATTGTTTAGTTCCCATACACAAACATATAACCTTAACAATACCCTTGCCATAGTTCTGCAAATTCATCAGATATTTTAATCTTGATTCGCTAAAAGTGACAAAGCCTTATATATATAAAGTCTGAAAATATTAATCTTTTGCTATCATAAATATTCTAATAATGCTTTCATAGAGTTCACGGTGGGAACAATGAAATTCAGACCCATCCACATGAATGATAAGTAGTTGCCAGTACTGGTAGGAATGTAGCACGCTCTTCCATCTATTACATTGTCAAAGACAGTGTTAAGGGCACTGAGTTTTATGTAATTAAGTCCTTTTAAAGTATTTTGTTGTAATTTGGAGAAAGGTTAAATCCTATTCATTATTTGTCCTAGAAATGTTTACTTTAAACATTTTAGGAAATATCAGAGACCTGTTACTAAAATTTTACTGTAAGTTGATAACAGAATTGAATATAGTTACTCTTTTTTTAAAAAATGTAGTACTAGGGATAGAATGCAGAGCCTTTGTAAGGAAAGTTAAAACTTTAAGTTGGAAAGGCTTGGATTAAGGCTTTCGGCTCTCTAAGGCGCATAATCACTAGTTCACCTCTTCTTTCCCTGGATACCTGGCCAGTTCCCCAAACAGGGAGAACTTTGTTAAAAAGACCAGATGTTCTTAACATCAAGATGAAGAATGTGATGCATTCCGCCCCTCCCGAACCCCTGGCCAGGGCCCGGTTGGGACAAGACTGCAAGCACATTCACCTTTTTCCGCACCAAAAGAACAGATAGATTTACTACCTTTGTCTAG